TGAGGGTCAGACACAAACTCCCCTCCCATGTCCCTTGCTTTCCTAAATGACTCACCAGCCTCAGGAAAGATGTAGGAAGTGCGATGGATTACACAACCCTGCAAAACTGGCAAGTGCCAAACCATTCAAGAAAGGTATTAATATTACTGGCTTAGATGAACTCTCCAGGGGAAAAATGGATAGGAATTCAATAGACGATGATTAGATCATCAAACTGAAAGCAAATGGAGAATTTTTCTACTTTGCTCTTGTACGAGTGCACAATTCAGTCAAGTGAATGGAACTCTAAAGGCCATGCAGGCAAAATGCAGACTTAAAATTTAAAGCAGATAAACAAGATGCACCAGCAAAATCTATGCTAAAAAAAAAAAAAAAGGTGTTTTGTTTACTGATGTTTTGGAACTGTTGTTTTGTTTAAAGAGCCTGATCTCAACCTGGAGCTCAACTTACAGGGCAAGCTGAAAGAGAGGGAAGAGCACCACAGTCACTGAAATGACTTCTTCAGCAGGGGCAGGAGAAAAAAAAAATCAGAAAGTCCTGTGTCTGCTGGATGTATTCACTTTGCAGTTTCTTCCTGAAAAAGGGAAATTTAACACAGGAATCAGTAAGAAGTGGAGTAATCAGCAAAGTAGGCACAGGTGGGGTCATGAAAGAAAACCTTTGCTCCTCCATAGGATCAAAACAATTAAGGAAGGATGAAGGTTTTTTACCTTTAAAAAGGCATTTACCCTCTGAATTAAGGGGTAAATGTAGTATGCTGTATTTGTCAAGCAAGGTTTGGCACATAGCCTCTGAAATACGGTGAATGAAGACAAACGTGAACACACCTCCTTTGTGAGATTTAGTTTCTATATATTAGCATGTGAATTGTACTCAACCCTCTATGGTGTCATATTAAAGAATTACACATCTGAATGTTCTGTATTTGAAGGGAAACCAGTAAAAAGGCATTAACCTAGGCTTTGTGAGCTAGGAACAGATATAAGTCAGTACAAAGCCAGTAACGGACCTACAAAATCTGCAGCATGAAAAGCCTACCAAGAAAAAAAAAAATGTAAAGCAACAAATGATTTGAACAGCACATACAACATGCAGAATTCCAAGCACTGTACAGATGTAAAAAATGCAGCAGAAACACATCAAAATTTTTGGTTCAACTAAAAGTTTTCCTTAACTTTATTACATTAAAATATCATTACTTTAGGGAGCTGTTTGTATTGCTCTAGAGAGATATTTTACTGTGATGTTCAGTAACACAGTCAGCACAGAAGAGATAGAAAGAGCATAGTGCAGATGTGCCATGTAACCTCTCAGGGTCACCATTTCCATTACCTACAAAACAGATGTGACATAACCAGTACCACTTCAGGACTGACTGCTGAGAAGCCCTAAGCAAGAGCTAGATAATGTCTACTGTTATCCTCTCACTGAATATAGTTATGTTTTAATATTACCTCTACAGACCTCTCAAAATGACAAATTTAAAATAAGTACAAGTTGTATGATTATAAAATGTCATTGACTTTACATAGTAGGAAAAGGTTATTTAATTAGGGGAGGTCAGATTTTCAAAGGAGGGAGAGTTCACAGACATGCACGGATATTTTTATTTTTCATTTAGTTGTACAAAAAAAAAAAAAAAAGAGGTAACTGCACAGGTACTGGTAGGCACAGGAGCACTCTACTTCTGCATAACTTTACTGAATGAATAATGCCATACCAGCCTCTAAGAAGTGAAAGCAAACAGAACAGACCCCTCCTCCCCTTGAAAACACAGGACATGGTCCCAGAAAAAGTAATACAGAAACCAGTGGACAGGACTATCTGACATGAAACCTATGATATCAACTTTGTTGACATAGATATGATCATTAGGGATGAGTTGGCATAAAATTTGTGCCCATCTTAGCGGTGCTGAAGAAATATAACGAAGTGAGACTACTAGTCTCACTCTTCGCTCTTACAGCTCTTTTTCTCCAACAAAGAATAAGTTACAAAAGCAAAAGGTCACAATAATTACTTGAAAAGCCAAGAGTTTCAGTGGCTTCACTAGTGCCTGCGTGCACAGACCCGACAGCGAAATGCTGGTGCTGAAGCCATTTCTTCAGTTTCGTTATTCTCAATTATGATGGGCATTCAATTTCTACTAAGAATAGAAATAACATTGCAGCCTAAAGTATTTCCCTTAATGACTTAGACAGACAACAAGAACCACCAAACAAACCCATGTATGATTTCATAAAGGAGAGGACAACAGTTGCAATTACCTCTGTGACTTTTGTAAGGAAGAAATAATCCTTGTGAACTTGTGGCCTCACCAGACACCCACAAAAATCAGCATTACGTCCTGTTTAGTGTTATCTGAAGCTTGTATTAACACCTAGCACAACCAGAACAGTACCGTGTACATGTTCATCAATGGAAAAAAACATCTTATGTAAATGCAACATCAGTTCCAGTTCTGAGGCAGGTTAAACAACAGTGAAATCTGGGTAGAGTTAGACCATAAGCCCATTGCATCTCTCAAAAAGGGTATTTCAAAAGCTAATAACAAAGCATTTGTAGGAGTTTTTGTTGTTGTTGTTGTTTTGTTTGTTTGTTTGTTTCATTTTACAAGCACACTAAATTGTGTGATTCTGTATGGCAGCTTGCCTTCCACAATATAAATGAAGACTAATGCATAAAACACTAAGGAATGGGCAAAATGATGGTATTTTGATGATCTTACTCGTGGGGGAGGGGATGGAGGTGTGTGATCAGCAGGAAAAACCTCTGTGTGGGAATTTATTTATTTACTTTTAAATATCTGAATGGCTAAGAACGCTCCCTGCCTAGTCCGTCTTAGCTTTTTGTCTCTTATAGATGTTTAAACATCTGACAGACAAGTGTTACAGATGATATAAGGAGTTTTTGAAAAACATGTAGCTTCGATCTCTAGGATTTTGAAAGACAAGCACACTATTTGGTCTGCACAGCTTACAGCACCCACTAAAATCCTTCATTAAAGCAATAGCGACAAACTACTGCAGTCAAAAAGGAATGTCAGTAAAAAGTACTAATGTTAGTGCAGTGGTTTTCAGCATTAATGTTACAGTTGCCACAGTCATTATGACCGTATTTTCATTCTGATTTAGTTTTAGTTAAAGAACCTATCAATTAATATTTACATGTGAGAACAATACATATGCTATTGCTCCAGTGGAAAGTCATTTGGAAATTATTAGAGACAAAAGCATAAATCCTTGAATAATTTCTATCCATACAAACATTACATCCTGTTTTGAACACATTAAAGTTGTGCAAGAGCCTTTCTGTATAACACAGTGCTTTTTATAAACTTTACCATACAAGATATTTCATTTTTTTTAATATACAATATAAAAGTAGATAGGTAATCTATCTAAAGCTAACTCTTGCAGTCTTCTTTGTAGCACCTATACAGAATGTAAGCTATATAATATGGAAAGCTTCCTTAATTACTTACAGACAACGTACAAAGACAATCCCCTTGTAATCATCAGAATTAGAAGTAATCCTATACTTCACTGCATAAAACTCTATTTCAGAGTAAATATCATTAATTTTTCTTTACTGATTCTAATATTTCATAAGACTAAACTTAATTTAGTAGATAGTAAGTGCTATTTCCCCTTTTGCTATAATAGTTTGAACATTATACCTTATTTTCCCTTCTTGGTTAATGAGTCTTTAGTAACAAGAGAGGTATTAAATGGAACAACAGATTATACATTTACTGTATCACCACTTACAGTACATTTGAACCACTTACTATTCAACAGAAAAAAAAAAAAGAATAAATACCAGCTTTTTCATTCCACTCAGAAAATAACAGAATTTTCATACATTCAGAGCAAACTGGGCAACTTCAATTTGACATGTTTATAAAGCTCATCCAATCCAAGCTGCCTGAGTTCTCGTGTGGTTATAACTAAAGTAATGCTTGAAATAACTTGGTGCTTCTCTGTACCTGATAGAGTGGCTTGGATTCCTGCTAGTCTTAGTGAAGCATCATGTAAATGTAGTGCTTCCAAAATTTAAGAACGAAAATTAATTACAGAAATGAAAAGTCACTGTTAAGGCATAACAGTTTCATGGAACTGGAAAAGAAAAAGGTAGGATTCATACCACATGTAATATGATGACATGTGCACAAGACCAAAGGATTTATTTGGAGTTAATTAACGAATACACATACAAACACACACATATTTACCATACCTGTATTTAATATTCCTCTACTCTTATTAAGTTTTTGTGTATGCAATAGAGTTCATAAGTCAAAAAAGTGTTAAGCCATGTAATGTTACTCCTGGAACTTTCATGTATACTTTCCAATGCTTGAAGTTAAGACTATAAGGCTAATACTTCATCTGTGCAATTTTCTTTTGCAATTAAAAATTAAGGTGCATTCTCATAAAGAACAGATTTTTAATGGTGTGAAAATAAATTAAGTAGAGAGGAAGCATTATTTAGTCCAAAATCTTGGAGTTCTGGGAGAGAAAAAATGAGGAAACAATAGCTCTGCTGGAGCTACCTTGGTGTAGATGTCATCAAGTGACACTGCAATCTCTCTCTGCATTTGCTTTATGTTTCCTGCACGGTGGTTCAGTATTGGCCATTACATAATCTGTTTTCAATGCAGTCAAGTGCTCAAACACATTTGTCACAGTCACTAATCCCATACTTTATGCAATGCAATGTAAAGAGAAAGCAGACTGATCTTTCAAAATATGGAAAGCTCTCCTTAGACAATGTGAAATCATAAGTGTCATTGTTATGTGGAAGAAACCTAGGATTAGTAATATGGTAAAGCAAATAAAGCACTTGTATTTCTAATCTGGTGTCACTAAACTGAATATCAAGATCTTATTTATCAATATGAGTTGAATTCCTCAGGAATTTTGCATTTCTATTGTCTATGATTTCTATTACATTACAACAGCTGAATTTGAATTTTGGGAGAATGAAAAACAACATACAGTACTGTCGTCTTGTAAAAATGAACGAGTGCTTCACAAACAGGGTTCCAAGTCACATAACCAGCTGGGTCTTTTTGAGTTGGTTAATCAATCTTGATTTCAAAACTGGAAGAAAGAAAAGAGATAATTAGACTTGACAAACCCCAGAGAATTAAACAAATTAATAGAACAAACAAGAGGATTGATCTAAAGGATACCCCATAAAACTGAGAGCAAACAGCCCATGTCATAAATAGTTACAGACATAATGCAGTAAAATAACGTGATTAAAAAGTTCTGCGACCAACAATCTACATTAACAGCTTGGAATGATGAGCCTCAGCTCCCAGAGCTTTTCACCCTTATCCATTTATCAGTGCTGTAGCCTTGGTAAAACTCTGGCCTCTTGCATATATATATAAATAAACAGTACTTTTAGTGCAGACAGGTGACTCTCATCTGGTTGTAATTTCCATTATCTTTAAAAATAGCTTGCACACTGAAGATGACAAGTCTAAACCTTCAGCACTTCAAGTTGTGTAGCTGCGCTGGAATAGCTGCTCAACATTATTAATATCCACCATTTATGGGACAAATGCAGAACATTAACCAGGAGGGTGAGGATGAATGGCTGAAAGTGGGAAGGGGAAACTGAAGGCCAAGAGACAGATGAGAATGAAAAGGCTGACAGCAAAAAAAGACAGTGCTTGTCACGGTAGCTTTACTATCTGCTGCTCTGCCTCATATCAGAGAGGGGCTGGAAGAGTTAAAAACACAGAGCAATGTTTTATTTGTGCTGTATGGGTTCATACAGGAGAGGGGCTGCAGAAGATGGCAGGCAGTCTGCATGCTGAGAGCTGAGGGGCCCCAGTGGCGGCCGGCTGTTTGTGGCTGCCAGTGAGAGGGCTGGTAGGACAAAGAGATTTTCCTTGCTGTCTGTGGGACAGGAGAACCTGGAAGTGAGTATCTGAGAGGTCTTAGAGTTTGCACATTGAAGTCGCCAAGAATAAATAACATTCTGCCTTTTTCCACAACAGACCCCCAAGAAGGTGCAGTAAAACCACAGGCAGCATTTGGACGAGGAAGAGAGGTCCTGCTGGACACAAGTGTTCTCTATGCGAACGTAACACTATGCCATAAAGGCAGGCCTACAAAGTTTCAGTTTGCAAACACTGGATAGTTATTGCCCTTTGAACTCTACATGAAACACCTTTTATTATCTATGAGGGTCTCCCAACACAGACACCAGTACACCCACATCTGCTTCATCTTGGATTGGCATCACGGAGCTAGCTTCCCCAGTCCTCTTGGCACTAGGTTTGAAAGATACCGGGTCCTGTGAATCATTCAAATGCATTCAGTTCCCTCTTTATATCTAAATGACAGTTTAAACCATTCAAAAATATTCAACTTTCATACTGTTTCAATTTGTGGTGCTTATTTCAGGGTTAACACCACCCTTTGAGTATTCTAGGTAAATTCAGCTTAACATAATTTTATGAGGGAATTTCAGGACTTGGACACTATCTTTTTTCAAACCATATCTAGTTTTATTTTGAGGATTAAGGTTCATAATGTGCTAGGACTAAGCGTTCTAGAACCACACAGTATTACTACATTTTCTCTTCCCTCATTTCTGTGGAAATCAGAGTGGGAAGGAAAATGGATTTAATGCAAAGGCATGCACAGACCTTAGGCTGCACCTAACATGTGACACTGACACAAGGAGGGAAGCAATTGCATTCCAAATTTCAACCAATTTGGAATCTAATTGTACTCTCGAGGTAAATATGTGTGTGTTTGTATGTGTATTCGTTAATTAACTCCAAATAAATCCTTTGGTCTTGTGCAAAATGAAGACTTCCAGTCACTTTCTAGCAATTTTACAGAAACCACTTTGCCATTACAGCGACAAAGATGGAAAGAGCTTAGTGGAAGAACACAACGAATTTGCAAGCTAAAACCCAAGAACTTAATTATAATCCAGTCTCAAATTCTGCTCTTAAAATCTTACCTACCAAGGTAACTATCACTCAGCACAGGTTTTTAGCCAGGCTTTTATTGCCAAAGTATACCACCAGGTGGCAAGATTGCAAAATAAAGATTAAAAAAATCATTCCTATAATGCATTCAGTCAGGGCTGCTTCAAGGACCCCTTGCTGGGAAATGACAACTGTTCTGTGAAGACTTGGGTAAGTGCTTAAATCCTCCCTGCATGGTTCTGTAAAATAAAGTATTTTAACATTTCTTCATCACACCTCACGTAGCCAATTTACTTACAATTACATTAAACTCAACACAAAACTTCCCATTACAGTTAAATGGGGAAACTGTGACCACCAAATGTACTTCTCTAAGAAACATGGTGTTGCCACCACTTTCCGTCTCCTTCTTTCTCTGACATCAATTTTACCCTTTTTGAAATGCCCTAAAATCTTACGTGACAGCAGGGATCTCACATTTACATGAGAATACAACTCAGCAAAGATGGCTAACAAAATTATGTTTGGAAAAGAGAAGAAGAGAAGACCTTACATGAAGTACACTTAAAATCAAACAAATCATTTTTCCCTCCCATGATACTTTAATTTCTCACAAATTATTATATAATTCTTTATTCTCTATATTATTATCAATTATCTATAAACCAAGATAAGGACAGCTGCTTTTGAGATCAGCCATAACAGCAGCATGCATTATAGATATATGAGCTTGGTTAAATGGCCTTAATTTCATAGAGAGTACATTACTTTACATTGTTATTTTAATCCAAATTTTAGGAAAAATGTAAGTTCTGAGTAACTACTCAGAAATGTGTTACTAGTAATGTTTCACCCCAGACCTCAAAGGACACAACGTAAGCACACAGCCCAGCGTTATGTGTTTTATACACATACATATACACACACATACATATATAAGTAACTAAAAATATTAGTAAGACTAAGACTTGCCTTCCTTACAACAAAACAAATAACCAAGTTGCACAGCTAAAGAAGCTGATGAACAGCCACAGTTGACCTTAAGATACACAACACAAGAAAATGATTCCAGAAATATTTTAGGCTTTTTTTTCCTTCCATTCGTAGTGTGGCACCTGCTTAATAATATACAGCTACACTTCACAACTGCTTAAAATATTGTCATTATCCCTTGAGCTATAAGAAATTACGTAGGTGTAAAATAATCAGAATGTCAAGTACATTAAATGTCAAGCATAAATAAGAACCAAAATTGGAATCTCTCAAAGATGCTAGCACTCCCACAGTTGGGCAAAAAGTGTTAACTTCAATAACTACCACCATTTGGGACTTGTATTATTTTACAAAACAAAATTCTTTGCCTTAATGGCATGTAATAACTTGAAAGCTGATTTGGCATTAGAAAGTAAACATTAACTAAGTCAACAAGAAAACTTCCTGCGCTAAAGTAGATTTTTATTTGGGACTCTTCAATTCAGACACTTCAGGGTATTGTACTATTATAAAAACAAAACAAAACAAACAAACACAACACAACACTTTGGAGAAGAAAAAAAAGGAGGGATGAGTAATACATGAGCTTGTACTATTACATGGGAGGGCACCAAGGACATACACTGTAAAATAAACACCCAAGTCATAAAATTTCTTCACCCATTAAAAATATATATATATATATATATATATATATATATATATATAAAATAAAAAAATATGTCCAAATCCATTTTAAATTCCAGAGTTTAACAACCATCAAAATGAAAATCACACACCCTTTCCCCAGTGCCTATATACTAACAAAATATTTCAAAGTGGAGCTATCTAAAATCTAAACTAGATTGGAATCTCTTTCAGGAAGGTATTTGTTTCAACTCAGTTCATGCTATACACTAGCACAGCAGAGTCTCAACCACACTCTCCTCTCGTGGACCTCAATGAAAGCATTTCAAAACATATGAAAACACAACGCACGTCTTTAGGGGACAACACCTCCTACCAGCTGTTCAAGGAAAATCAAGCAAACATATTCTTGTCTATAATGAAATGCTGCCCTAATGTTCACATTTTCTTCCACATTAACTATTTAATTTTCTATAAGTAGCCTTGCAGGACATTAAGTAGTTCAGATGGCTTTACTTAGAAGGCTTCAACCAAGAACTTCCCCAAACTGTCTGTGGTGTTGGACAAGCCAGGACACCATCACAGAGAGGTTTACACAGCAAGAACGTTTCACAAAACAATAAGCTACTTAGGCGCTCATGTTGAAGAGATTCATGGTCTTGTAGAGAGGCAGCATGGAAACTTTTCTAAGTTTCTAAGTTTCTCATTCCTACTCTATTCATCCCCCTTTCTTTCAAGCATGGAGCTCTCTTCTGGGAAGAGCAATAACAGAGTCAATTGATTGACAAACGGATCAACAGGAACTGGACTGAGATCACCAAATCACTTTGCCTCAGCCATATGAAGCTGTCAGCTAGCAGTAATAATGAAATTGACTCTGATTTGATTTGGATTGAAGTTCTCAAGCATCAAGGTTAAAACACTTCCATGTAACTGTGCCCTGGCTACACACTCAGTCAGAGAAAGATAAAACATGCAGTAGAATTGAAATGAGTTTTCCTCTAATGTTACAGAAAATATCTAACATTTCATACTTCTATCAGCATGTATTATTCGTGTTTCAAGAATTCTGTGTTATAAGAGGAAACTCTCAAGCTCACAAACTTCTGCAATTCTACAGTCAGTTTATAGAACCAAGGCAACAAGCATTTACCACCCTGAATTAAGAAGGAAAGGCTCTATCAATTGTTCAGCAGTTGCTAACATGCCCTTTCCTTTCATTCAATAGTACTGTGATTACCACGTCAACTTAAAGCTATGCTTCTATCACAAAACTAAGAAGAAACTACTAAGTATAAGGGTACTAATAACTGGAGTGACCTTAAAGGATTTGTTGATTTTCTTCTTTGTCTCCAGAAACAGTATGTAAATATACAATAAGAATTATGTATGTAAAATTAGCCAGTGCCATACAGCTGAGCAGCCACTCTTGAGGTCTTCAGAAAAATAATATATTTTCCTTCCCAGAGAGTACTGTGAATGAGTCCCAGGCTCAGACAATTTAGGTATGCGTTCAGTATAAAA